TTGGATCTTCAGCGCTGCAGAATCTGAGGAAGGCAACATGGGCTTGAGTCGAACTGGCACTTCTGTCTTCACTAGGCAAAACAAAAGCTTGCCATATCGGCTATATGGAAAACAAATCCAGGCTGCAGATCTTCTTGAGACTCTTCTTTGAGAAAGACACATTTTGTTCAGAAAACAGGCCTGTAAATGGGGTATTCCTATTGATTAACCTCATGCATCTAACAGAGCTGCCTCAACTGGGAGGGCCAGACTTTGGCTCTATACTCGATGAAGACAGATGAGCTCAATGAAGACTGACACAGAGCATGATTCAGAGCACGAATCTAGCTTATGTGCTCTGAATCACACTTTCAAAAAAGCCGTCATCTTTCTCCCATGACTGAGCTGTAAACTTATTTTTCTTTCAACAATCTAGGGGAGTTCCAGTGAGGCAATAGGCAAACTGTCTTCTCTGAAAAGTTTTGTCCAATTTTTGCTGAAAAAAGTAGCCATATTTTTACTCTATGATTTTGACAGACAAAGAAAAACACTGTCCCTGGGTTTAAAAGGTGCATGAAGGGACTTTGAAAGGCAAGTTGTCTGATGAAGCATCCCATGCAAAAAACAATATGAAAAGCAAACTTACTCAAACTAAACTAAATATCATACCATATCATATCTCAAGCAGCATCAGAAAAGTAAGTTCATCTACTTAGCTTCAGAGCTTGGTTTGAATGAGAATCTTGCAATCATGATTCTTTTAGCATCTCTGCGTGAGGTTTTATGAGAGGGCTTTTAACAGTAGCACTACTATTGTATCTTCAGAAGTCAAACAGAAAGTAAATGTTTCCAATTTTTATTTCCAGAGTTTGGTGCAATCAAAATGAGACCTCTTAAGCAGCTAGTATCTTAATTGCAAATTTATAAGAATTTCACCACAGTCCTCCATTAGAAAGGAAATCAGATAACAGCTTACATTAGCTGATGCAGTAGCTACTAAATAAGGTAGCTTTGTACTTCTGTCTTTCCCCTCCACACACTCTGTTGTATCAACCACATCTTTTTTTTTTCTCTTCTGCTGAAAAGGAGCTGTGAGCCTGTGCAACCAGGCAGACAAAGAGCAAGGAAACTTAAAAGAGTTTAAGAGCCAAGAGATCTGCAGTTAACGCCCTTGGTGACTAAAGTTTTGGTGTTGCTCCACATCACTCCCATGCCGGCCATGGCTGACAGGAGGGTTCCAGGAATGTGAATATCTACAGAATCCATAAAAACAAGGCTCACCATCAGTTGGCAGCTCCCCACCTATTCCTCTGGGGGGAATAATTACTTTTAGCCAAAGCCATTCATTGGGAATATGATAAAACCTACAAAATGCAGTCTACACTATTTGGATTTGTCTGTTTACAGGAGCTACTTTATTCCACTCAGCTGTTTCCACTGCTTAGGCCCATTGGAAACAGTCATTTCCCTCTTTATTCCAATACACTGATGCTTACATTAATGAAGCTCAGCAACTCATGGCTTAAAATAGACAGCAACAATTTAAAAAATCTCCACAAAGATGTAAGATCAAAGCTTGCAAATTCTATTCCACATTGAAAATCACAGGCTTTCTACCTGCTTTTTTCAATCTTTTTTAACACATACAGCATCCTTGGCATTCAGCTGCGATGACCTGTAACTGTGAAAAGCACTGTTGTTTGCTTGTTAGTAATTCATAATTAATATCTTCAGTTAGTTTTTAACACACTTTTTGCTTAGAAACAACAGAATAATAACAACAACAACAACAATAATAAAAATAAAAATAATAATAATAATAATGAAACAAAACCTTCAGAGGAGTGTTTCCTGAATGCTGTGTGCAACTGTAGGTATAACAAGCCTCGGCTCACCTCGAGGCTGCAAGAAGTTAATGCTCCTCAGCAACACCTGACTGAAAAATTTCATCTTTGGGTAAGAAAATCTTCAAAGGAAGAAATTAAAACCTCTCAGCTGGGGAACATTAAGCAAATTAGGAGAGGGAGAGTTAGGCAATTGTTTCTGTTAGTGTGGAATAATCCCTTTATGCTGAAACTGTACCTACCATAATTACTACATGTATTATGTGCAGTTCTCAAGTTTTATATCAAATATATTTTTCAAAGTTTAAGACAAATACTGGCAATGTTCAAGGCAATCCGATTAAACCCAGAGCCGTGTGCCTCCCCTCGGCTGGCTGTCACCGTCCCTGCACCGCGTGCTGAGGAGAGCCTCGCACCTGGGGCTGACAAGACCTCCCAAGGGAGGGAGGTGTCAGGGAGATACAGGCCTCACTGCAGGGGAGCTGTCAGCAAATTAGGAGACCGCGGTCATTAGCACCATTTCTCTCTCTGTCCTTTTCTGCTATATTTGCCCCCGGTGGCCCCGGCCTGCCCCAGCCCACCTGCGCCCCCTCACCTTTCTTTGCCTTGTCCCACATATTTTACCTCACCCCGCCCTTTCCCACCAACGGGAGGTCACTAACGTGATTTATTGTTGTGACAGCAGCTCCCTGCACTGTCAGAAGGACATCTTCAAAACATTTTAAGACTCTTCTGGATGAAAAGACCACAGAAAGCTCAGCAGGATCTCTAGACGAAGGCAGGACGCGGTAAGGGTGCGTCCCACCAGATCACCAGCAGAAGTTACCCACTGCCGGGGGGCAGCAGCTCTACCCAGCAGGACAGAGGACATAGCTCAAGGCAGGGGAACTGCACCCTTCATCGCTTTGCTTGGTTGGTATCTTTCCCAAGTCCCGTCCTTTAAAAGAGCTGAGGGTGTTCATACTCTTTAAGCCAGGGAAGAGGTGGAGTGCTAAATGCCCTGAATATCTAAGGGGAGGTGGAAAAACAAAGTTCGGGCAGTGGTAGTGAGAAGACGCAGCTTCAGCAGGGAGCTGAGGAGGAGGGAAAGTGCTTAATGCTCGGCAAGAGGACAGCAAGTGGGAGGGATGGTGATTTTGGATCAGATGAGAGAGAGAGCACTGTGAAGGCGTACATAAAGAGCAAAGCGATAAGGAGTTCAGATGCAGGCCTATAGCAAGCAATTGGGAAGGATGCTGGTGCAAGAAATTGGCAAGGAAGAAAAGTCAGCCAAAGCCAGAGGAGGGCAACAGAAGAAACATTTGTGACGTTGGGAAAACATTACCCTCCATACCCTGCACGGTTCCAGAAACTCCCCATTCCTCTGCTACCTACCCTAAAATAGTGCCTTCTTCCACTAGCACGTCTACAGAAAGGATGAGACTTCCTGCATTTCCTACAGCAGAAATTTCTGTAACGGGATTACATTTTCCAATTCTTCTGCTGAATTATGATGCCAGAGGCTATGATTTCTGCTTTTATCTCAACTTGCTTTTCAAAAGCTCTTTTAATGACAAAAAGATGACAATATTAAGTGCAAAAAAATCCCCAACATCCCTGTAAAACACTCTTTATTCTGATCAAAGTCTCAAAATTCAAGTAAATCAGGTTTCTTGTGGGACTATAATTCTGCATTCTGATACAGGGTTAATATTCAGACTGTATAATTGTATGCCACATTTACACCAGATATTTTTCTTATTCAGTAGGAGGTTGAGGGTGGGGCAAAACAGACCAGCTAAGACAGAATCAAAAGCCACCTGAGAACTTTCCAGAACTGATATCAGAAAGTCATACCAACTTGCAAAAACCTCCACATTTTCATCAGAACTCATTTTCATGATGGAAACAATAACAGAAGATGTTATTTCAATTTGATGGCTTCACATCCACACAATTTTGAACATTTTGAATGTTTATACAAATAGCATCGCATTCCTTCTTTCCCTTTTTCTTCTTGTGGATTTACAGTAAAACAGAGTTAATAAAGCAAGTGGAAGTCTTGGTAACAGAAGACTTCTGTTTTCATAACTGACTTTCAAAATGGTACATAGAAAATCACCCTCTTTAACTTCTCCCGTTATTGTATATTGAACAGATACAAATATGCAACCACACAGAAACATTTATTCTCCCAAAATTAGCATTATTACTTTATTTGGTGATTCATTACAATCTGCAAATCCAATAGTCAAAAAAATAAACTAGGCATAATATTAAAGCATTTTACAAGCAAAATACTTTACTGTTTCCTTTTCAATTTGCATAGGGTGGGATAAGTGTATTGGTTAAAGAATATAATGTACAGAAGAACAAAACCATAGTTCATCATACTGTACTGAAGAGTGTTACGATCCTGTGAGTGAACAGTACTTAAACAGCTATAACCGTCAATGGAAAACCATACACTTCAACATTAACAAGGCTGCCTTCCCGTGACCATGATGCATCATGAAGGCTGCAAGCCACTGGGCTTCTTTTCTTACGTTGTAGATCATCATACTTTAAAGAAATTAAAGAGTTAAACAAGCCAGAATGCATCTATCTACACTCATTTCTTTTCTACCTGAACAGAGGCCAGTATGGAGAGAGGGAATTTTTGAAGTCAGCTTCTGAAACCACTTATCGTAATGTCTGTCTCTCATATTTTCAGTGTCATGGAGCTAGCAAGCTCAGAGCTTCATCCACACATCTCTGTTTATTATTACTGTGCATCCAGGTAAAAAACTGTATTTTTTCACTGTGTAGCAACAAACTGCAAGGAGATCATTCTCCTTTCCTATTGTAATCACATCTCTGTTCCTCCAACTGTATAAATCTGGCTTTAAAGTCTCACAAAACTAAAAAATAGTTGATCTAGGTTGTAATAAAAAAAGTATTAAATACCTTTGGTAAAAATAGATATATTTAACAAGTTTAGAAAAGCAAATAGTTATATTGTCAAAAGGAGAGTATAAAAATGTACACGATAAAAAATAACAAACAAACAAACAAAAAATCGTCAGCCATAGTAGTAAGAATAAAGGCGCTGTTCTTTTCAATGTTTGCTTCCTTAGCTCATGTTATTGTCCAGTCTTCTTTCTAAAAGGCAGGAACTTTACTAGAGCGTATGGAAAAATCCAGTCCTTTCTACCAGCATTAGACAAATTAAGTTTAGTTTGGAAAAAGATAGTCTGTTTTAACCCAAGTTTATACAACAGAGAACGCTTCGAGTTAGAGTACATAGGAGTAGTTGAACACAGAAAGAAAGATTTCAGGTGTTTTCAACCAGAGGCCAGATGTACTGGAGCTGTAGAAATGAGACAGCCAGCAGGATCAAGTCTCCATGATGTGAGCCTTCTAACTTTATTTTTACTCCTAAATTATAAATCCATGTATTGTCAAGAAAATTGTGGGGGACAAAAACAATACATATATTTTAAATCCCTCATTGATGCCTTTCTCCCATCCTTTCACTGGGCCTCCAAACAGAGCTGTCACACAACATATAATCCCAGTTTGGCTTCTCCTCTTTTTAGAGCTCACTGTAAATCTTGAAGATGGAAGATCCCCAAAGCAAACAACTGAGATTACAGAAGGAGATAATGCACAAGCCCCATAATAGAATCAGCCATTGATTGAATGTGCTTTGAAAGAAAACAGCACAATTAAATCATGTTTATCCTTCAGTATTCCCTTTGCACACACAGTCACACTCCTCATGGTGTTCCAAAGGTACATCTGTCAATGATTTATGCAACCCCCGGACGCCAATCCTTGGCTTCAGCTGAAGAACCTGAAGGAGAAGAAGCCAAGCATCAAGAAAACACTAAGTGCTTCATCAGACACCTAGACTATGAGCTAGATTACACGAGAAACACACTGGATGACAGTAAGCATATTAAAAGAAATAGGCTTTCCTCAGCTGAATGTCTTCATTTATTCTACCCACTAATTACTATTTTTGCTTTTACCTCAAGCCCTTTACAAAACAGATTAAAACATGTTGAACAGATACTTGCTTTTATCAAAGAAGAGAGTCTTGCAGTTTCATATTTCTACTTAATTTTATTTAAGGGCTAATAGTATAGTTAACCCAATGGAACTATTAGATATTCTATAATAAATAATTCTAGCTATAGATTTATAACAATGGAAATGGACAGATATGTGTTCCTTCATGAAGTTCACATCTACCACTAGAGAAAGTTGAACAAGGAGGTGTGGTTGCGATGTGTCTGAACTGCACCAGTAAACAAATACCTCAGGAATGACTTAATAGTTCCACAGAAAAGTATTTCAACAAGGAAGATATTACTTTTTTTATGTAACACCTCAGTAAAATGGTAAAAAAAATATTTACAACAAGTTCAATACATAACATCTTAAAATATTAATATTGGTGCATTCTTATAGTAAAAAGAAATTCCTTAATTGGCTTTCAGTATTTCCAAACATACAAATGCAAAAAAAGCACGTACCTCATGGTATTTTTTGGTGACTTTTGTTGGTACACATTGGCACTCATTGCAACTCTGATGACAACAGGCACAGTTTCCACCACAACGTTTAACCAGAAGACACAATGGCCAGAAGATGGTGTCAGTTCGCTTCAGCTCCTCCCTCAGTGACACTGAAAAGTTGCGAGGAGTACAACTATACAGCCGCACCTCCTCCTTTAGGAGGTTGAGATCGACCACTGCAAAAAAAGACAAACAAACTGGTGATTTTCTGATTTGTAATCCAACTTCATTGATGGTAAACCAGCTTCAGCAATGCAGAACCCTTGAGGAAAGTTCATTTTTGTGCAGCTGGTACAGGTTCAGCACACAAGTATAATACTGCAGTTATATGAATACCATGAAATTTAATTGAATGATCGTTGTATAGGAATATTCACCAATTATTTTATAACTTTGGCAGAGTTGGTTCAAATTAAACAAATCGAACTTTGGCTAGTATGTTCTGATAAATGTTTTATCAAATCAACTCTAATGGAGTTCTCCTTGGCCATGCTCATACTCTGAGCTCTAGTGTTGCTATTCTATATTAACTTTGGATTGGAGAAATACACACAGCAATTAAGAATCCCACAAACCTCCAAACACATTTTCAATTCATTTGCAAAAAGCATTCAAACTTATTCCCTGCTAAAATTTCAATTATTGCTTCTTTGCACGGGCGATGTAAGTATAAGAAAGAATCAAACCATTTATATCTAAGAGGACCTCACTTCTATGGAGTAAGAAGTTCAAGAAGTTATGTCATCATCAGTGAATACTGTACAGACAACAAATCGGTGCACAAGTATGTGTATCTATGTAACTATTAGTAGGCTCCATTTTTCTCCTCCTCCTTCATAGCAGCATATATATGAATTTCTGTTGCTTCTCTAGGTTTCATTTTCACTTGATGTATCTTAAATAAAATACAGCTCCTCCTTATAATCACCTAACTTGAAGTGCAAGTTAAAGATATTAATTAGTATTTGGCACCAGTTTCCCTATAAGCTGGTTCCACTGTATCATACTAGAGTCTCACTATGCCAGTGGTTGAACAGCAAGCTCATGAAAAGATCTGAAACAGGGCAAGCTCCTTTAGGTTCACCTTAGCTGCATAGCCAAGAAATAACGGGCCTTGCAAGTGGCAGTTAAGACCGAAAAAAATGGGATTGGTTTAGTGAAAAAAATAATACATTTTTTACTTTGGTGAAAAGCAATGTAATTTCATTTGTTTCAGAAAAGCCAGACTACAAAAGCATGATCTGGGATCTTTTGTCTGAACTGTTTCTCTCCAAACCTACCATCATTAAGAAGCAGAAGTAATGTCTAATTCATAGGAGTACTCTACCTGGTAAAAAAAGAAAAAAAAGCAAAAGAAACCCCTATGACTGCATGGCTACTGAGATGACTGAAATAGAGATCTCGAACAAAGCAGCAAAGAGCTTTAGACCAACTGTTTTTGAGCAAAATCAAGAGGAAATTAGAGGAAAAAAATCCCAGTGCATTGATATTACTTGACAAATACTTTATAGTTATTGCTAGCAGTTCGTAAATAAAAAGATCTAAAATAAAGCTAAAATATGTTTCTGATCTGAATCACCCTCTAGAGAAATAGCTTTTCTTTCCCTCTACTATATAAAGAGCCTCTAGAGGTCACCAAGGAGAACTTCAGCCTATCAAGGCAAGATAATATCTCTCAATTCTATTTAAACGTGGAAGAAATAAAGAGAATCTAGAAGCTGCATTTCTCTAGTAGAAATGCTCACTAGTACTGTCTCAGGAGCAGATCTTTGGGCAGCAATTTAATTCCATGTTTCTTCAAAGTTTCTTTTGCAGACCTTATCCATATACTGGCATCTGTACGTAAGGGTTTATTGTTGTGAAAGGTCAGTTAAACACACTGAAGCCTTTTCTCTGCTTGCGCTTACAGTGAATGCCAAGCTGGGGCACTTCATTCCATCACTATCAGGTTAACATAGGCTTCTAAATAAACGATCTGATTTTTAAAAGCAAGGAGTGTGTAATAACTCCAATAAAGTTACTGATAGGACGCCAGCCTGCCTCCCACACTGCAAGAGCACTCCTTGGAGAAAGCTGAGAGGGGAGCAGAGGAAAAGAAGGACAAAACTTCTGGGGGAGAGATTCACTGCGAGAAATTAGAAATTATTTAAGCTCTTCTGATCAGCTAATAGCTCTAGGCTGAGTCATTTAGAGGGTGGACATGTCTACCTCCATTAATCAAGGATGGTGGATAGGAATGGATTACTTTCTCCTGTTACGTTTTCAAATATATAATAAGTGAACTGTCTGAATGAGGATAAAATGCCTAAAGCACAATGAGAGAAATGCTAGTTCTGCTAATACTTTCTACTGGTAGATTTCTACAGAGACTGACATGGTTGGTACAGTGACTTTCAAGAAGCTAAGCCTAGGCATCCTAACACAATTGCTGTTCAGCCCTTCACCATGGGAAATTGAAAGTGGAAGCTGGGCACTGATGCCTCTTCTAGCAAGCCCACCAACCAGTGGGAGAGAGATGCCTGAATGGTGTTATGCTTCCCAATTACGTCCTGCCTACCGGCAGCAGCATCCATTTCCCAGTAATAGCTGTACTTGTAACATAGAGAAAAGGGCAATGCACTAAAATGAGCAGCAGGTGTATTACACGTTTTGTCACAAAATTGGACTGAATTCGAACTGAAACCCTCAGACCTGCAGACCCGAATTTTAAAAAGGTTCCGTGGAAGAACACGCAATCAGCTCTTAGCAGATATCTTTTAGTGTGCCTCACTGTTACAACAGGCTTCAGGAGAGATGAAAAATGTCATGTTTGGTTTCCATGCTTTACAATGTACTAAGGTATATTGCTATTATGCCTCACAATGAACCCTTGCCCTACCTTATGTAATTCAATTTCATTAAAAGGTCTGCGGCAAATTTATCTCATGCTTATATAATCACTTCTTTGAAGTGTGTGAATGAAGCTGTTATTTTTTCAAAGAGTATCTGTCTGTCCAAAATTTATTTTAACACACTGTGGGCATGAAGTTAGATGAGAGAATGTATATATTCCCTTAAAAGTGTTTACTTAACCACAATAAAAGGTTATGTGGATTTCCCAAGTGCACTGAGTTACAGTACCTTTTATAATGTGAACATTTAAACACTCCTTCAACTTGGCTTCCACTCATGTATCATGTTTGACACAACAGTCAAAGTTCTTTTGTCTAGCACTAGCTCAGGAGGAATGGAAGGGTCTGCAGTAGCACAGGAATGGGAAACACTAAAATAAAAATAAGGGGAGAAGGAAAAAAAGGGAGAAAAAAATGTAGATGCAGGTAGGTCTACAGTAAAGTCTGTTTCAAAAGTGTGCCTTCACTGGCACATACAACTGATGTAATCCATGTTCACTCCAGCCTGAAAGTAACTGTTCAGCAATTGGCAATGCAACTGTTTGACATGTTCTGGGACGTGTATCGAGTACCATGGGGAACCCTTTTTCCCAAAACATTCTTCCAGCTGGATGCTGCTCTCAAAGTCAATGAAACAAACTAAATTCTGGTTGGGGCACTTGCTTGTGGGCACAAATAGCAGCAGGATGATTTTCATTCCCAAGCACCCTGGTGATGTTCCTGGAAGTGTAAGTTTCTTACTGGCTCCTACAATAGGACAGGGTTGTTACAAAACCCCAAATGTTAAAAAAAAAAAAAAAAAAAAAGTCACATAACTATAGGAGAAAAGCATCTACTAAGGACTATGGTTGAATTGTGACTCTTCTTCTTAAACAGACTTCAGAATATGGTCTGATGATTATGCATAAATTTCTGTGGGAAATGATGGGATATTTTTGCACAGCAAAATATATTTTATTTTTAAGTATGTTTAGTATTATAAAAGAATTTAGTACTATATTTAGACATCAAAGCCTCTGAACTTGGTGTTTCTTCTTTCCTGGCTAGAAGTTTTTGGAAGCATTTTATCCAGAGAAAACATCAGACACAGAAGTTCTGTGGAATTTAGGTTGTCTAAATATAGTCTTTTTCATATGAATTATTAAGTAGGAGGACAATACTCTTCTCTACATAAAGTAACATACACTTTTAATTACATTTTCATTTAATCTAGATATAAACTGATGTTTGTCTACGAAATCAGGACAGTAATTTAGCTTTTACACTGCACTATTGCAAAAATAAAACTGATCTAATTATAGAATCAAAGAGTTTGAAAAACCCAAACATTTTAGGGCATGCACTTCTCCCAAACATTTCTTAAAAAGGTTTTTAAATACAGCAAACATGCTGCTAGAGGGAATAACATTAAAAAAAGAAGGGAAAAAAAAAAAAAAAAGAACAAAAAAAGGTTTGCTTTCCCTATCTATTTAATAGACCTAACAGTTAATTCTATGTCATCGCAACTGGACATATTTTCCACCTCAGGCTATTACATTATACACTTGGTAATGCAGTCTGAGGGTGGTCTCTTAAAGATAAATGTGGCAATACCATGATGTGTTTATTCAGTGGAAAAATCTATTTCAGCATCTAATTAGAAGTCTTTAAAAGATTTATTCTGATAGTTTCTTTCTAAGATATGTCTTGCAGGGAGTTGCTTCTGTCTATATAGGTGTTATCCAACACCTGCATTTTTAGTTTATGTAACGTTTCACAAATTATATTTTGTTTTTCTCCCACTTACTGTATGCTTATGGCATACTTTTGGCAAATACTGAGTCTCTTTAATTAAGAAAGTGTTAAATGACTGTCTGAAAGGCATGGTCCATTGCTGAAAGCTTTTAAATAGATTTCCTCCTCTTTGACTCTTGATTTAGTTGCCACGTCCATAGCTGTAGCAATACAGGTAGGGTAGAAGGGTTGATTTTTAGGCTCTGATCCAAGAATTAGCCGTCAAAAACTTAAATTTGACTTATGAAAAGTTTTACTTCCTCCCTTTTCTTGCTCATCAGATAATAATCTAGTTCATGTTTTTCAACAGGGTATTCAGTTATACTCGTATGTTTTCATTTTCATGCTGTATGGTGGGCAAGGAAGGAGGTATTGCCTGCATGCTATCCATCCACATGGAATCCATAAACATGAAATAGAGGGCAGCATCTGTATGATATGCGGTAGAAAATTCATGAATGTCAAAAGTAGATGGACAAAAATGACTTGCTGAACAAGAAATAGCTCCACAAGTCTTGAAATACATAATCTACTTTACATCTGATTAAGTTAACAACTGCATGATCAAACTGGACATGGACACAGGGATTTCATGAGGTATCATGAAAGAGAAACATTTAGCTAATTGCTCTCAATTCATATGGTGTAGAGACTGGAACAATTCTAAGGAAAGAAACCAATCATTCACATGATACAGTAAGTGTAAGAAATCACCCACGCTAAACAAAAAATAAAGTTTTTGCCCTCCATAAAAAAAGAAACCCACAAAGTTAGATTATGTCACCCAGCCAAGATGCCCTGCTACTTTGTGGAAATAAAAATCTCCCAGGTTCCCTGCAGAAAACTACCCTGTCTGCTTCTACTCCCCCCACCCACCCTTTTGTTACTTTATCCTGCTAAATTCCTTTACGTTTTGAGCTTGGTTATTGTCCTTTTTCAGATAATATAATGGTGAGAATAGCTAACAACAACAATCTCTGCTGTATTTCTAACATATTCCTTTCTTGGAACCAAAACTCAAGGTGAAGAATGCTCTTAATTACCATTTCTTTGTTAAGAAAACATACCCACAGAAAGCTGCAAGGCCAGACAGAAGAGTGATTTACCTCTTGATTTCCTCCCATGAATATATGCCTTTCCAAGAAGTTGCCATGTTGGCCTGTACAAATCTTCCAAATCCAGTTGCCACCGATCTGGTTCAAGGTACCGGATAAGTTCTTCCACAGTACTAAATCCAGCAACGGCATTGTTTAATACATCTAACGGTAAAGCTGATGGGGGTAGCAATGATGGGCTAGGTGCTTCTGTGTGGTGCTGCAATCAAAGCCAAGAGAAGAGTACCAGTCAGAGGGTTAATGGATCTGCTTTGATGAAGTGCTGTACTTTATGAAGTTACATAGCTGGGAAAGTTTATAAGTGGCTAGCTTGTTTCCAATGTACAGTTTACCCAATAAGACAAATGACAAGAGTCAAAAAGTACCTAATTATTCTTTAGTGATAATTGTAAACAAACTTCCACTAGACAGTTTTCCCACTTCTTACATTCCTAGCCTTGAAGATAGCATGCCACTATACCTGTTCTTTGAAGAAGTTCACTGAGTGATGGATAAGATTTTAGAAATAGAACAGAGCGATTTGAAAATATGGCCCCATTACAGGCATTTACTGTAACCCCCTAGAAATCCAAGGAAACACACATTTCACATGCTGCCTTTCCTCTCAAACTTAGCCACAACCTTTGTCTTCTTGTCTTACAATGTAAAATATGAACATATCCTAGTACAAAGATAGCAAATATTCCCACTCTCATTTATAGATAGAAAAAGCACCAGTTACGTTTCTTACAGTACTAAGAATTATGTTTCTGGTTAAACAATAATGAACAGAGTACTAACAACGTCTGGCATTAATATAATTACTTCTCCCTTAAGAAGGAAAAAAAACCAACAAAACAAGTTCCTAAGGATATCAAAAGTATTTAAATGCTGCAACTGAGTATCGCAAAAGTCTATGTACTTTCCCACAGCACAAATCTCACTGACAAACTCACTGGATCAGGGGTACTCAGTCACAGGCAATTCAAGCAAAGTGAGACTTCTGGTTTTGCTCACTCCACTATCTGTTTAAAAATTATGCATTGATTCGTATTTTCAAAAAAGGCAGGAAGGGCAGCCTAAGTAGGAAGCTGCTGCTGCACCTCCGTAAGTTTCTTTAGACTTTTATATAGGCAGACATCACTACAGACATTATGTCCACAGTACTACACTAGAGCAATTTATCTGGACCATATAAAAATTATGAAGAAAGATTTGAACATACTGCTGATTTAGGGGATGGGAAGGACAAGAAATCTCAAACTTAAATGCATAGTGCTACATGCATCACTGCTCTCAATTGTAGTCCATATAAGATTTAGGAAAAATTTATTCACTGTAAGTACAATCAGGCTTTGGAAAAGGTTGCCCAGAGAGGCTGCACAGTATCCATCACTGGAGGCTTTCAATAACTGACTGGATAAAGCCCTGAGCAACGGTCTGACCTCAGAACTGACCTTACCCTGAGCAGGTGGTTAAACTAGAGATCTCCTGAGGTCCCTTGCTGAATTTTCCTACAAAAGTCCTACAACATAATATTAAGAATGAAGGACTGAATGTTCCTCCAATAAGTGAACTAACATGCTTCTTGTCCATTCCCTGTGCAGTGCCTGTTAGTAATGCAAAACACGTACATATGTATATATATTTATTAATATGTATTTATCTATATTTTATATATTTAAAAATCCTCATACCACTTAGTGTCAAAATCGCACTCCCAGTACTCTAATGTGAAGTCTATACATACTGCAGTTTTTTTCCATCTTTAATGTCAGATCAGTTGTATTCATTTACCTTTTCAAAATGATCAGAGAAATTGATGAGAAATTTAACAGTTATGCAGGAAAAAAATATTTAATAAAATAATCCTTGCAACACTACATACTAAACAGCAGTTTTCTAAAATACATATGCCTGTGATAGCTGTATTTCATACCAATAATTATATTTTCCTTTCTGTGCTCTCAATTTTATTAAATGTGCATTTTTGGTTTCAGCTAATTGTGTGGTTGAAAGGGCAGCAAATGGAAGTAACCACCATGCCCTTCCTATTTTCTGCTTCAAGGGTTTTCTCTCTCCATCTGCAAGAAATGCAGGCACTAGAATGATTTGTGCTGCTTTTCAACCGGGAGTCTTGCAAAGACAATACCAAACATAAATCTAGTGTGCTGCTACTATTAACTTTACTATATTTTCTTCTTGCTAATCTGGCGTCATTTCCAATAGAGTGAGTGAAGTAGTTGCTTCCCATTCTGGATGAATACGGATTTCAAAAAGTAAAATATTTCTTTTCCTCTTCACTCCACTGCCCACATTAAAAATAATAACATGTTGATCCATCTATTAGGTTATGATAATAAAGCAACAGATTCTGGTCTATAATTTAAATATTTGCTTTTAGCAAAACATACTACTCAGCAAGTTTCAGAATAGTGCTGTGACACTATAATTCAGATGGTCAAAAAAAAATATTCCAAAATTTTTCTTCCTGTTTTTCTCCTCCACGATGATGTATTTGTAACAGCCACATTTCCTGGTTTGAAGGTGTAGGGTTTTGCTAAAGTGAAAAACAAAATAAGGATCAAATGGTAGAATTAGTACCTGAAGAAAAAAATCTACTTTGTTTGCAGCTGAAGAATTTACTTTGGTGTCTTACTTCTACTAGGACTTTTTGTTCCCAATGAAATAGATGGATTCCAGATGAAAATCCATTGGTCTAGAATCTATTTCCACATTTACAACTTAGAACATGCACACTTAGCATGTTTTATGTTATTCTGGATTCAGTAGGCATCTGCCTGAGTTAAAACGTTATGAGGATATGGTGAATCACTGTGCTTAACGGTAACACAATTAAAGTTGTCATCACTTTCTAATCATTCTCACAGCAAACCAAAACATAAAGAAAAAGTATTTGAAACAGCAAAATTGCACAACTTCGAAGATGAATGTTTTAGAATAAAGTAATTAAAATCTCAAGATTAAGAATGTTTTTCCCACTAATCTTTTAATTTAGTCAATTTAAACGACAGTTAAAATGTACCAAAGATTAAATATAATTGATATTATAAGCTATAAATGCTGTAATTTATATTTATAACATAATAACCTTTATGAAATCTCAATTCAATAAATTGTTTAATATAAATGGTAATTCAAGTTATACTCTACATTGCTTTTACTTGCTTTTACTTTTACTATTTATTTTATAGTTTCAACCTTTTGGATAGAATGTCCATGGCAGCATAAATGGTACTCCTTCCTTTGAGTAAAATTATATCTTGATATTTTATACAATTTATAATTTCACTTGACTTTCTCAAAGTTTTTTGTGTTCTATAGGCAGTATTTACACCTGCAATAAGGTTTTACTCTCAGAGAAGATAACAGGAGAAATGACTTAATGCAAGAAATTAAAACTCAACTTCATTGAGGGGACGGACATTCCTTTTAGAACAAGCAAGCACAAAACTTCAGCATAACTCTGAAATGTAGCATCATAGTTGCAACTTCAAAATGCTGAAATGCTCCTTAAATGGAGCTTTCCCTCATTTTATAGCAAGTCCATCACTTCTATTATAGTTCCTTCCGGTTAATAATCTCAGATAAAAATCCACGTGCCTAGAATTTAATCTACATCTCTCTTGACACTCCTACTCTGACCCTTGCCTCCACCTGCATGCCTGACATAAACTGATGTTGTCAAGTCACTCTCTGTGCAGTGCTACCGACATCAGTACTCAGTAGGTCTCAGAGATGCAATTTCACTGCAGAATGGTGGTGTGGAAGCCTCACAGGAGGACCACCAATAAGCTCTAGCTGTTTTGCTGCACAATGTTGATGGAAGCAATGAAGATGATCTTACAATGAAGTAGCTATCTGTCAACTGTACATCTATCACCTAACTTACTCCACAGAACTATATCACATCTCCCCTAACAGGCCAGTTGGCACATAACCAACCTTTGATATAACAGACATCTCTTTATCTGACAGGGGACACATAACCCAAGACAGCTGACACTTACTTAGGTATAGCAGCTATCCAAAATAGCTTTCCTGATAGAGACCACTTACTGGGAAGTGATGTTCTCCAAGCTTTTCTACAATAAATACTAATCAACAGTAAATACTTTTTCTGTCATAGCAGCACATCCTTGATTAATACCAATGTTTTAGACTTGAGACCACCTTTTTTATTTTTTTGCCTGAGCATGAATAATTTCTGTCAAGACAGATTTCAAAAACACATCAACAAGTTCTGTATTTTAATGTGATTCCTCTAGTTAACAAAACACTCTATGGTTTTTGGTTTTGTGCCCAGGAAAAAATCTCAATTTACTTTAATAAGAATAAACATGTTTAAAACCAAGGTAGAGCCAAACGGTTGCATCTTTACTGTTAGTTAAAATGATTCAGGATGAAAACCAGAGCAGAAAACATAGGGCTTCTGCTGCCCTGTAGAACAGCCAAGAATGACAATTAGTGTTGGATCAAACAGAACTTTCATTAGGTCTGTTTATATTGTATTTCTGTACGTGTACTTCACTCTGTGAAAACAAATACCTTATAGAAATCCCCTAAGGTGTTTACAAGTGTAAAAGACAGGCAAATAGACCAAATTTAGGCAACAGTTTAAGATAAGGGCTTGGAAAAAAGGAAGGAAATAATATAAAGACTAACTTCATGAAACTATCCAGCCCTGAAGATTATACATAACAGCAGCACCCCAGAAGAAATTTAGGGAGTAAAATGCATTTTAGGGTGCTCACAATGTTAGTTGTGCCCTATTAAAGGAATCAAAACTACTCCATCTAGCCTCTTTCTCAAAGGGGAAAGGGTGGGACACTCTCATAAGTAGAATAAGAAGGTGATCATCAGTGAAGCAGTAAATCAGAACAAAAACTGCAACGATTTGAAATTACCTAATTGAAGCTCAAACCTAAAGGATGATTTAGTATGTAGCCTAACTTGAAGACTTGTGATTCATTTCTTGTTCTGGCACGTTTCCTGTGTGGTCCTGAGCATATTTAAGCCACAGCTTCATGGTGTAAAGCATCTGGCAGTAGCATCTACTTGCTACGCCTGCATGACTGTGTATGTGGCTGCATCATAAACAAGAAGTAATCTTTCTGAAAAAGGGTATTTCTTATTTCCTTTTTCATTTAACCGCAATCTTAGTCACAGCACAGACCTCCAACAGCTAAGCCATCACGA